GCAGGGAAGTTAACCGGGCGGGCCATGGAAGCTTTCAGGGCACTCAGTGCCGAAGAAGTAGCCCAATACCCCACAGTAAAGGAGACGGTACTGAAACGGTACGCCGTGACCCCAGACACTTACCGGAGGCAGTTCCGCAACACGAAGAAGGTGGCGAATGATACCCATGCCGAATGGGCCCACCGAATGCGGAGGGCTGCTACACATTGGATTAACGGGTGTCAGGCCGTCACGGCAGCGGAAATATTAGAACTATTTTTGTTAGAACATTTTTATGAGGGTCTAGAACAGAAAGACCGAGAGTGGCTGAAAGACCGACGTCCCAATAATCTGCACGAAGCAGCAAGGCTGGCGGACGAACACCGGGATGCTCAGGTTCAGGAGTTCAGTAACTCCCGAACGATAGCCCGTCCCGAAACACGAGAGGTGTACCGAACAACCCCATGAACGGAGTTTCACACGCCTTACCAGCGGGACCTACACGGTACACGGGACCACCCAGCCACTACAATCAAGAGCGATCCCGTCCCACTTGTTACAAGTACAAACAACCAGGGCATCTGATTGCTAGTTGCCCCCTCAACAATAACTACCCCGCACTGAACTATAATTCGTCCCCGTCGGGGAGTAATCGCCCAGCCCAAGCTTTTTGCCTCGAGCAGGACAGCCCTTTAGAAGAATACCTGGGACCCCTACATGAAGCTAACCCCGTGTATGCCGTAAGTGACAATAGGCAACATCACCGGCAAAAAGTGCTACTGGAGGATCGTCCCACCCAGGGATTAAGAGACACCGGGGCCACTATCACCTTGGTGCAAGGCCGACTAGTCCCCGAGCACAAGCGCTCCACCGACACTGTCGCAGTCCGGGTGGCTGGAGGGGACATATACAAACTACCCACAGCGAAGGTACATTTGGATTGGGGTGCAGGGAAAGGACTTGTGAGGGTGGGGATCATGGATAACCTACCGGATGAAGTTTTGCTGGGAAACGACCTGGGTCCCATGACTTCAGCATATGCACCTTCCTACAACTCCGAGGCACATCCAGTGACTACCCGGTCGCAAGCAGGGAGAGCTCGAGACCCTTCACCAGTGCGGGAGACTCAGGTAAGACGTAACCCGACTGTGACCACCCCTCCTGCCCCATTACCCTGGGACACCCCTGCAGCCTTTGTGGCTGAGACCAAAACTGATCCGACACTCCAAAAGTATAGGGAAAGAGTCAATACAGGGACTGGGGGATCAGACCAGGAGACTTTTGCATGGGAACAGGGCCGACTGTACCGACACACCGAGAAGAAGGGCCACCGTAGGAGACAGCTAGTGATACCTCACAAATATAGACGGGATATCTTCCGGGTGGGTCACGATATTCCCTTAGCCGGACACCTGGCAGTAACCCGTACCCTCCATCGTATTACCCATACCCTTTTCTGGCCAGGGGTACATGCAGATGTGAGGACCTATTGTAATACGTGTGAGGTCTCCCAAAGGGTAGGCAAGAGAGGAGACCACCCCAAGGCGCACCTCGTTAACATGCCTATTATCGAAGAGCCGTTTAGCCGGGTAGCCATCGACTTAGTAGGGCCTCTGGCTACCCCCAGTCCATCTGGTAAGAGATATATTCTTACCATCGTGGACTATGCTACCCGCTACCCGGAAGCCGAGGCTTTATCTAACATCCAAGCATACACTGTGGCTAATGCGTTAGTGCAGGTATTCTCTCGGGTAGGATTCCCTCGGGAGATCCTATCCGACAGAGGGACCCAGTTCACGGCAGAGCTAACCCAGCAGCTACGGCATGTCTGTAAGATAAAATCCCTCCTCAGCTCCCCTTATCACCCTCAGACCAATGGGCTATGTGAGAGGTTCAATGGAACCCTCAAACAAATGTTAAAAACCTTCAATCAGGAGTATAGGGACTGGGAACGTTTCCTGCTGCATCTCGTGTTTGCTTACCGGGAGGTGCCCCAGGAAACCATGGGATTCTCCCCCTTTGAGCTGCTATACGGACGTAAGGAAGGGGCCCCCTGAACCTTATCCATGAGCACTGGGAGGGAAAGACTGAGAACGCTGGGGTCCCCATTGTACCTTACGTGCTGGAACTTAGGGACCGTATGGAGCAGTTGGCTAAGTCAGTTCAGGTCAACCTCCAGGCGGCCCAGGGGCGACAGAAAGTCTGGTACGACCGGGGGGCACGGCGGAGGGACTTCTGTATAGGACAGAAGGTTATGGTACTCAAACCCGTTAAAGCAGACAAGCTGCAAGCAGCCTGGCAGGGGCCTTACCAGATAGTGGAGAAGCGGGGGGACAATACCTATGTGATTGCCAGCTGTCACGATGAGAACCTACGGAAGATATTCCACGTGAATATGCTGAAAGAATACTTACAGAGACCAGAGGAGGTGTCAGCCATATGTAGTCCCGCGTTTGAAGACTCAGATAGTCTCCCCATACCCGACTTATTGACCCCCAACTCCCCGGCTGAAGTAGTGAAACAAGTACAGATCGGGGACCGACTTAACTCAGTAGAGAGGGAGCAGCTACACAAACTGCTCCGAGAGAAACAAGCAATGTTTTCTCAGGAACCGGGGTGCACCGATCTGGCCACCCACCAAGTAGATACCCCCAGGCAAACCCCTTTAAGGCAGGCCCCCTACCGAATCCCGGAGGCCGTTCGGGCAGGCATGAAGAAGGAAATAGATGAGATGCTCCGGCTAGGGGTCATTGAAGCTTCCGATAGTCCCTGGGCTTCCCCGGTGGTTCTGGTACCCAAGAAAGACGGTACTACCAGATTCTGTGTGGACTATCGGAAACTCAATGACAAAACCATCACCGATGCTTACCCCATGCCCAGAGTGGATGAGCTGCTGGATCGCATAGCCAGGGGGAACTACCTAACTACCATTGACCTCTGCAAAGGTTATCGGCAAATCCCTCTGGCCAGGGAAGCTGTCCCCAAATCGGCATTCGTCACCCCGTTCGGTTTATACCACTTTAAGGTCATGCCGTTCGGGATGAAGAATGCCCCGGCCACATTCCAGCGCTTGGTGGACAGACTCCTTGATGGCTTCCAGGAATTTGCCTGCGCATACCTGGATGACATAGCGATCCATAGTGAGTCCTGGGAGGAACACTTAGCTCATGTGGGAATAGTCCTGGATCAGATTCGGGCTGCGGGCCTGACCCTGAAGCCAGAGAAATGCCACTTTGGGATGGCTGAGGTACAGTACCTGGGTCACCGAGTAGGATGCGGGAAGCAGCGACCGGAGCCGGCTAAGATAGAGGTGGTCGCAAACTGGCCCACCCCACACACTAAGACCCAAGTGCTAGCCTTCCTGGGTACTGCCGGGTACTACAGGAGATTTGTGCCCGAGTATAGTGCTATTGCTAAACCGAATGGCAGAATGGCAACACCGACGGGCTATCCCGGCAGACTGACCTCATCCCAGCATAATTTGTCGGTCTGGACAGCCTTAGTCTGCCCCGAAAAGGGGTCAGACAGTGTCTGCCAGAGTGTTCCACAAAGAGGGAGCATTGTTACAAAGGACTCGAAATTACTCCATTATTGTTACCACATCTTGTCACTGTTGCAGCCCTATACTATTAACACGGAGAAACACGAATGGATTATATGAATCCTTATAAAAAACCATTCGTGATACAAACGAGAGACCCCCCAAACGCTGGCGTGTGCCGCCAATTAACCTCTTCACCCCGCAAAGTACCGAATGACCGACGACCCGACCAGCGGAGTGTGGCGCGCATTAACCACCCAAGCAACTGCGGTCTGCGGTTAACCACAAACTAATTGACGGGCACGGAGGATTGACGTTCGCACACAAATCACCGAATGGAAACTACCGAACAACCTCACTAACGGAGACCTCCTACAGTGGGTCGTGTGTCAGCAATTAGCCTGTGGTTTCTGCGGCTAACCGCAACTCAAGTACCGTGCTACCGGGCGGTCTCGATTCGCATACCGAACGATTTCCACTACCAGACAGACAGCGGGGATTCGCATGAACCTATATCCGAGTTCAGTTCCATAAGTTGGAGGCGAGGTCCCACTGCTCGTTAAACCACCTAAAAACATGGCCGCCATCAGGGACTCACGACCCAAAATACCGAACGGACTTTATACAACAGAAATTGCTCATTCTGTTCGCGGGATTGGAGCGCCATTCGTATATTTAATGTACCCGAACGCGAGCTATTGAATGAGTGGTAGAATGAACCGTTTTTCCCTATTAATGTTGAAGTTATGTATTTTTATACAGTTTTAGGAGGCATAATAAAACGTGGTCTTTTGTGCGCTTGGAAATAATTAGATTGTATAACCGTTGGCTTCATTATCTCCAAGGTGGGGGGTAATAACTCAATACTGTACTGTGATTGGTTACCTGTTTGTACTTTGTTCAATTTAATATTTTTTATTATATCAAAATTGATATAATGGCACTTTCCCTGAATTTAAAGCTGAGAATTTCCCACTATTTAATTCTCTTAGATCCTAGAAGCCGATCAGGGGATTTAATTCATACAGTGATCACAATTTGATAATAAAAATATAATTTATTGTGACAATAATAAAATAATAATAATATGTAACATGCGTATTGATAATCAGTGAATATTTAGTATTACACAGGTATACAATAAAATGGCAAATGCAATGGCTACAGCACCAACTGTTAAGACGTAACAAAATTTATGATAGCGTAACAATCTCACAGAACACAGAAAGCTCACAGCACAGCGAAAAGCCATAAAAGCTTGGCTATCAGTTAGATCCTGATTAACTATTCCACTGCTGGTTACAATTCTCCTAGGCAATAATATCCTATTCTTTTTTTTATTTTTTATAAATCTTTATTTTAGTAGTGCATAGAAAGAAACATAAGCAGTTAGGGACATGACATTGATAAGTAATATGACAAAGTCATGTTTAAAAACTTGCACTTTTTTTTTTTTATAAACATTCAAAAGATGAAAAACCTCGACATGCACAAAAAACATTGAGTAGAGATAATTGCAAGCTTGTATTATGCATGTCATGAAGTCTAATCAGTTGTCAGTATACTAAACTAAGGTATGTTACTGCTGATACTAGGGCCACTGTGAGGGAGTCACAAGAGACTTTGAGAGATGCTGTATGATTACCAGTGGCCTGGTTAGAAATACCGCCAGAACATCTTTATAGTGAAATATATGCTAGGCCTGCATGATAGACAAGATATGTTGGAATTAAGACTAGGTGATCAAATCATAAACCAGAAAGATCACACACGTAAAAAAAACCAAAAAAAAACCCCATTAGTAATAAACAAGAGTAAACAGTATGGAGGCTGCTGGGAGCTGAGTAACTTAATGAGGTCTTGGGTGTTTGAAACCGAAGGGAAAAAAATAAAAAATAAAAGAGTTCAGCCTAAGCCCAGACTGGGTGTGCTGAGTGGGCTGTGAGAGTTCTCCTGACCCAGGCCTGAAGAGATGCTGATTGTGGCAAGTTGGGATTCCCCATTTTCGCACTCCCATCCCCAGATATGCTCAGGGAGCAACACGCCAGATTTTGGGGCCTCGTGTTTACTCCCCAGAGCAGAGCCAGTGGGTCGTCTTCTGGGATCTCTCCCTTCACGTTTCGCAGCTCAGGCCGATGATGGCTGATTTAGGGGCATGGACGCAGGTACCTTTCAGGATGTAGAAGTGCCGGGTTGGCGATTGGTTAGTCGAGCTGCATGTTTCTACCTCCCAGCAGGGCTCTCCTTAAGGCAGCAGAAAGACCTTTGTGCCTCGTGTTGTTCAGGAACATGAGGTGCCGCCATCTTAGGTGTGTTTAGCGGTCGGTGCTGATCGCCTTTGTGGTTTAGCAGGTCCGGCAGAGAAGTGTGCTGGCGGGGACTGGGATGACCCCCACCGGTCCAGAGGGGGGGGGAACGGGACCAGTCAGTTGCTCCATGGGAGAGCCAGTGTGGGGCAGTGAACAAGGAAGCAAGGAGGCGGCCGTCCACCCAGCTCCTCGCTCGACTAGGCCTCAAATTCCGGAGTCTCGATTGTTTGTTTCAGGCTTTAGTATTCCCGGATCTGGGCCCGGCACCAGCACCAGCTGTCAGTTAAGTAGCAGATTATTGCTCCTGGGCTCCGAGTTGGTACAGGCTCTGCCGAAATTCAGCTCTTTAAGCTAAAGCCCTCAGGAGCTGCTCAGACAAGCCGTCCGGCCCCGCCCCCCAATAATATCCTATTCTATTGCTATTTTCAATTAAAACAATGTTCATTAACCATTCCTGGAACCATCCAATAAGAATAATCTACCATATTTTACATTAGCCGAATTTTAACTTCCCTACAAAATATTCTCTATCTTATTTCAGAGCAAATCAATACATCTGGATAAATGTGGCATGCTAATCTGTTGGTAAATATTACTGTTAATATAGTTATTGTATTCCACCTGCAGTAATGGAATTTTTATAACCATATATTCTTTAATTAACTAAGATTTCTAATTATTGAAATCTGACCGGGATTTATCCAGGTATATTCCTGCTATTAGTAAAATGTTAATTAATTTAATTTAAAGGGACACTCCAGGCACCCAGACCACTTCTGCCCATTGGAGTGGTCTGGGTGCCAACTCCCACTACTCAACCCTGCAAGTGTAATTATTACTAGACAGCCACTAGATGGCACTTCCTCCTTCAAAGCACAGAAAACCTGTGCTAGAGCATCGCTGGATGTCCTCACGGTATGTGAGGACCTCCAGCATCGCTCAATTCCCCATAGGAAAGCACTGAAAAGCATTTTCAATGCTTTCCTATGGGGAGCTCTAATGCACATGCGCATTAGGTCTCCCTGGCCGGTGGGCAGGTCAGTCTCGCCCACTGGCCAATGTAATGCAGAGAAGGAGCGGCGGCGGAGGGAGAAGCAGCGACGTCGGACATGTCGCTGCCTCTGGTAAGTTACTGAAGGGGTTTTTACCCCTTCAGCAACCGGGGATTGGGGGGTGGGAGGGGACCTGCAGTGCCAGGAAAATGGATTGTTTTCCTGGCACTAGTGTTTCCCTTTAATTAATTAAAACCAGCATAATTACCAGTTATGTTGTAGATGCTCTTATCAGATGAATAGATAGTCCCAGGAACTTGAATGCAAGTATTCTTGATGACTGTATGCAGTAGAAAATATTAAGAATTAGGTGAGTTTAAGAGCGCTGATAGTTTCTCGAGGACAGTCAAAGAGTTTGAGAACAGATCTGTCCTAAATTTCTGTCCTGGATCTCCCTCTTCCCTTTGTTACATAGTTACATAGCTGAAAAGAGACTTGCGTCCATCAAGTTCAGCCTACCTCACATTTGTTTTTTTGTTGTTGATCCAAAAGAAGGCAAAAAAAAAAAAAGTTTGAAGCACAATTTTGCAACAAGCTAGGAAAAAAATTCCTTCTTGACCCCAGAATGTCAGTCAGATTTATCCTTGGATCAAGCAGTTATTACCCTACATTGAAAGATTATATCCTTGAATATTCTGTTCTTGCAAGTATGCATCTAGTAGCCGTTTGAACATCTGTATGGACCCTGATAAAACCACTTCTTCAGGCAGAGAATTCCACATCCTGATTGTTCTTACAGTAAAAAAACCTTTCCTTTGCCTTAGACGAAATCTTCTTTCTTCCAGTCTAAACGCATGGCCTTGTGTCCTATGTAAAGTCCGGTTTGTGAATAGATTTCCACACAATTGTTTGTATTGGCCCCGAATATATTTGTATAATGTTATCATATCCCCTCTCAGGCGACGTTTTTCTAAACTAAATAGGTTTAAATTTGTTAATCTTTCTTCATAGCCGATATGTTCCATTCCTTTTATTAATTTTGTAGCCCGCCTCTGCACTTTTTCTAGTGCCATAATATCCTTCTTTAGAACAGGTGCCCAAAATTGCACAGCATATTCAATATGGGGTCTTACCAGTGATTTATAAAGGGCAAAATGATATTCTGTCCCGAGAATGAATGCCCTTTTTCATGCATGACAATACCTTACTGGCCTTGGCCACTGCTGATTGACATTGCACATTGTTGCATAGTTTGTTGTCTATAACAATTCCCAAGTCCTTTTCGTGTGTTGTTATCCCTAATTCGCTTCCATTAAGGGTATATGTTGCATGTGTATTCTTTACGCCGAAGTGCATAACTTTGCATTTTTCAACATTAAATTTTATCTGCCATTTGAGTGCCCAGTCCCCCAGTCTATCTAAATCCCTCTGCAGCAAAGTAATATCTTACTCACATTGTATTATTTTACAAAGTTTTGTGTCATCTGCAAACACTGAAACATGACTTTCAATGCTGTCTTCAAGATCATTTATAAACATGTTAAATAGAAGGGGTCCCAGAACAGATCCCTGAGGGACACCACTTGCCACCTCTGTCCAGCTTGAAAATTTACCATTAATGACAACTCTTTGTACTTTTTGTTTTTAAGCCAATGTTCTACCCAAGAACAAGCATTTTCATCTAGACTGATTTCCTTGAGTTTGAACACTAATCTGTTGTGTGGAACTATATCAAATGCCTTGGCAAAATCCAAATAGATCACATCCACGGCAACACCCTGATCTTTACTTCTACTTACTTCTTCATAGAACGCAATCAAGTTACTTTGACATGACCTGTGCTTCATAAAACCGTGCTGATTTTTGCTGATAACCATGTTCTTCTCAAGGAATTCTTGAATATTATCCCTTAATAACCTTTTAAATATTTTACCAGCCACAGAAGTTAAGCTCACAGGTCTATAATTTCCAGGCAAGGATTTTGAACCCTTTTTTGAATATAGGAACCACATCTGCCTTCCTCCAATCCTCCGGAACACTTCCTGAAAGAAAAGAATCTTGAAAGATTAAAAACAGAGGTTCACTTATTTCTACACTTAGTTCCTTAAGTACACATGGATGGATACCGTCAGGCCCTGGAGCTTTGTTTATATTCAGGGCCGGCCTTAGGTGATCAGACGCCCTGTGCGAGCCCAACATATGGCGCCCCCCCCCCCTTCAGCAAAACCTCTGCCCCTTCTACAATAGCCCTGTTCCGCCTTCTACAAAACCCTTCCACAAACCCCAGCCCCCATTTCTACAAAAACCCTGCCCCCCTTTTTACAAAACCCCTGCCCCCTCTACAAAACCCCTGCTCCCCCTTTAATAAAACCCCTGCCCCCCCTTCTATAATTTTTTTTCTCCCCCTTTAACAAAACACATGCTATCATTATATATATCAACTATACAGCAATGTTCACATAATATCACTAAAAACCTTCCCCCTCCACCAAAACCACTGCCACCCTCTACAAAAGTCCTGCACTCATTCTACATAAACCTCTGCTCCCCTTCTACAAAACCCATGCTCCCCTTATACTAAGCCCCTGCTCCCCTTCAACTAAACCCCTGCTCCCTTATACTAAACCCCTGCCCCCCTTATACTAAACCCCTGCTCCCCTTATACTAAACCCCTGCCCCCTTATACTAAGCCCCTGCTCCCCTTATACTAAACTCCTGCCCCCCTTATACTAAAGTCCTGCCCTGTTATACTAAACCCCTGCCCCCCTTATATTAAAGTCCTGCCTCCCCTTATACTAAACCCCTGCTCCCCTTATACTAAACCCCTGCCCCCTTATACTAAACTCCTGCCCCCTTATACTAAACCCCTGCCCCCTTCTACTAAACCCCTGCTCCCCTTCTACTAAACCCCTGCTCCCCTTATACTAAACTCCTGCCCCCTTTACAAACCCCCTGGTCCCCCTTCAACAAAACCCATGCCCCCTCCACAAAATCCTTTCCCCTGCCACTTCACCAGAAATGCCTGCCCCCTCTTCTACAAAACCTCTCCTCTACACCAAAACCCCTACCCCCTTTTTTACAAAACCTCTAACCCCTTCTATAAAACCTCTGCTCCTCCCTAAACCAACCCCCTTCTACAAAACCCCTTCCCCAAAATCCCAGCGAGAAAACCTCTGCTCCCCCTTCTGCAAACCCCCACACACACACACACAAAAACAACAATCTATTTAATAAAAAAAAAAAAAAAAGCAATAGTTACAACAAGAATAAACAGACTCACATTAAAGCTTGCTGCTCCCTGGAACCTCCTGACAGTGTCCCAGTCTGCCGACCTTGATACCAGCACTGACCTCCTCCCTCACACTCACTGTGCGGATCCTTCCGCGGATGACTGTGGAGGCGGAGCATGCTCTTCCTCCGTGCTCCTGACCTCCTCTCTCTCCCGGCCACTGCTCTCTTCATAATTTGCAAGTCAAGTGCGCAGCATAATGCACTTGACTTGCTCTGCACATGACTCGGGCCGGCATGTGAGTGACTGAGTGCGAGCTGTGCTGGCCGCCCGGCGCCCCTGTTGCCATGGCGCCCTGTGCGGCCGCACAGCTCGCACACCCCTAAGGCCGGCCCTGTTTATATTAACTTTCTTTAGTTGCTGCAGCACCTTGTCTTGAGTTAACCAATTACAATTATTCTGCAAGTTTTTAGTAGCAATCATTTGCACATCTATTGCCATGGGTTCTTCCTTAATATATACGGAGGAGAAATTGTTATTTAAAATACCTGCCCTTTCCTGGTCTTCATTAACGAACACCCCCGTTTTAGTTTTTAGTGTACCTACACTTTAATTTTTTTTTTTAAAAGAATTTAAGTACTTAAAAAAATGCTTTGGGGTTGGTTTTGCTCTCTTTAGCTATCATTATTTCATTTTGAAGTTTAGCAAGTCTAATTGCCTTTTTGCATGCATTATTTGCTTCCTTATATCTTTTATAAGATGCATCTGATTTGTCCGATTTAAATGCTTTAAATGCCCTTTTCTTAGTTGTAATCTCTTGTTTTACTTCTCTACTAAGCTTACTTGAATGTTGGTCAAAAGATCAACGTTGTTTGTTAAAACCAGGTCCAGACAAGCGTCCATTTTAGTTGGTGCTTGTACAAGTTGTGACATGAAGGTGTCATTTAACAAGTTTAAAAACCTAATTCCCTTTGCTGAGCTACTAGTCCCTCTGTCCCAATTTATGTCCGGGTAATTAAAATCTCCAATAATTAACGTGTTACCCAGATTTGCAGCTTTCTCAATTTGCTCAAACAGATGTTGTTCCTCGTCAATATTAACATTAGGTGGTTTATAACATATCCCAACCAATAGTTGGTTTCCCTTCTTTTCCCCAAGCAGATATTTACCCATAAAGCTTCCACATTATCCTCCTCGCATTCCATTTGCTTAACATTTGGCTTTAAATCATGGTTGACATACAAACATACCCCACCACCCTTCTTGTTTTTCCTATCCTTCCTAAATAACATGTACCCATTTAAGTTAGTTGCCCAGTCATGTGTCTCATCCCACCATTTTTCAGTTATGCCTATTATATCATATTGTTTAGTGTATGCTAATGCCTCTAGTACCCCCATTTTGTTATTTAGGCTCCTTGCATTAGTAAGCATACATTTTTTTTTGTGAATTTTCAACATTACACAGCTTCTCTGTTCTGAGCTTTCCCCTTCCCCCGTCTCCACCCCCCTTATACTGTGCTAAAGCCATCTCCTTTCTGTCCTATCTCCATTTTGTAGATTGCTATGACCCTCCCCCCCTAATACTAGTTTAAAATCTCCTCCAACCTTCTAGCCATCCTATCCCCCAGCACTGCAGACCCTCTCCCGTTTAGGTGCAATCCATCACCACTATAAAGGCTGTACCCAATCGCAAAGTCGGCCCAGTGCTCTAAAAACCCAAAACCCTCCTTCCTGCACCAAGACTTAAGCCACGCATTGACCTCTCTAATCTCCCGCTGCCTTTCCACTGCAGCGCGTGGCACAGGTAATATCTCAGAGAATACCACCTTGGAGGTCCTTTAATTAAGTTTGCTACGTTCCTCTTACTTTGTCATTGGTACCAACATGGACCATGACTGCTCGGTCATCCCCAGCCCCTCCCAATAATCCATCCACTCTGTCAGCAACATGCCGCACCCGAGCACCCGGGAGACAGCAAACTGTCCGGTTGAGCCGATCAGAGCGGCAGATTGCCCTATCTGCTCTCCTAATGATAGAGTCCCCTACCACCACAACCTGTCTTGCCTTCCTTACATTTTGATCCCCACCCGTACTAGTGGGGCTGTTAGCTCGGCTGTTAGAAGTAACAGCTTCCTCTAATACAGCTACTCCTGAGCTGATGCTCCCAACATCTTCCCTCAACCGGGCAAATCTGCTAGGTTGCACCAAATCAGGACTAGCTAAACCTTTTCTCTTCCCTCCCCCCCGCTTCCTCGCCCCACTGTCACCCAGCTACATGCCTGTTCCCCATCTGTCTTATCTCCTCCCTCTCCACTACCTGTCCCCACTAAACTCTGCTCAGTGAGCAGCAGACTCCTCTCAAGACTGTCAATCTCCCTCAAAGTTGCGATTTGCTTCTCGAGATCTCCAATCTGAGCTTCCAGAGAAGCCACTCGCACACAACCATTACAGAGGTATGGACCCTGGACGGGTACATCCAGGCATCCATACATGCAACAAGATGTGCATTGAGTCAAACCACCAATCTTGCTAACACTCATTTCCCCAGAAACAGAAAATTAAAACAATTACCTTGTCAGTTTAAACCCCTAGTTAGTTTTAACTCCTGGTTTTCTAACTCCTACTTGAAAGAGTCTACTTAATAGAGTCTGCTTTCAAATAATGTGAGCAAGCTCTTACTTTTCTTACTTTTTAAAGGGCCAAACTCTCTGTACGTCAGTAGTTGAACGGACGAATAGGAAACTGTAGGTGTGTCTAGTTTTATCTAGTATTATCTAGTTTTTGGTCAGTAGATGGCGCAATTACATCACCAAAAGTTCTTGTCCTGGAAAGAGTTAACAAAAAATGATGGTGACTTTGACGTAATTTACTTACCTATTTTATGACTGTATAACTCAAATCTGCTGTCAATTTCAAAGGCTCACACCAGACAGAGCATCGTCAATTCCTATCGTATTTCTAAAATTGACACCTCCTAACCTTAATTTCACCCTTTTTCTTACAATGGGACCTTGTAAGATTTAGAAAGTAAAATTAATTACTAAGTCTTATCTATAACTGGCATCTGGTTCTTGTGTGAAGCTGTGTGTAAGATTATTCTATTTCATTAACATTAAGAAGAGTATCCATCCCCCTTCTCTGTTAGACTCTTTACCTTATTTACATTGTGGATACGAATATCCATTTTGCTTAATATCCTAGCTGTTCATATAAGGGTTAATGTGAACCAAGAATAAATTTGGAATTGTATCTCCGATTCTCGGAAATAAAATTTATCTAAAATCCTATTTACGGGATATGTTCTTGGAAAATTATTTTGATATGTTCTTGGATAAGGATTTTGGGATGTTCTTGTTAATTGTCCAAGATTTCAGTATTTGTAAACATCTGGGTTTTATCCAATATGCATACGTTATATAACACTGAATTATAACTAGAAACAGCTGTTTATAACTCGTGAAAAACAAACTATGCCACTAATGCTCATGGCCCCCACCGACATGAAAATGGGGTATAAATATAACTGACGTATGAATTAAAATTTGAATTGGTTATAGAACACATCTCTTGTCTTCTTGACTGATTCCCGGGATCCTGTCTAACAAAGAGGGTGTGGCTCCGACAAAATATCCATCTAACAAAGAGGGTTTCGTGTATAGCTGATTTTATCCCCTACATACATAACGCATTCCTTAGCTCAGACTGGAATGACTAGAGTTACAGATAGAAAAATTCTGTGTCTTTCTTGCCTGAAAACACCCAAAATGGAGACAACTCTGTTCTGAGTGACTCTGGCAATATACACTATTAATTAGCACAAAAAGTCTGCCGATATAAATATACTGACAGTCCGATGCCCAAAACGGTTCCATAGAATCGACGGCTAAGTGCTGCTTGTGACCAACAGGAACGACGAAGTCTTCATGCCAAAAATAGTTCCATAGAATCGAGGCTAAGTGCCGCTGGGGGACCGACCGGGAATCGCAAAGTCTTCATGGCGAAAATAGTTCCAGGGCATTCGTGGCTAAGTCCCTCTGAAGTCTATTCGTGGCTTTGGTCCATGCGAACGGCCGCCAGGGAGCTAACGTTTGGTTCTATGGAAAGTGTTGAACATGGGGAAATAAAATATGGGTCTTTACAGTCGTTGACTTGGCCCCTAGTCTTTTGGCAAGAGGCTGGCCAGCAGGCCCCTCCAAGCACCCATGACAAGGGTCAGTTTGTCACATCCATGTTTTATCTATATTATGTTTTATCTATACTACATGACTGCAGTCCTATGTCAGGTCTTACTTACTATGTGAATTATATACTGTAGATATATTGTTGTTCTCTCACCCATTTTTAACTTTATTTGTATTAGGATCATTGTTAAAGGGACACTATAGTCATCTTGACCACTTCAACTCCATGAAGTGGTCTGGGTGCCAGGTCCCTCAGGTTTTAACCCTTCAGATGTAAACATTGCAGTTTCAGAGAGAAATCCATCGCGCAGAGCGTCTATTGGAAAGTATTGAGAAATAATTTCCTATGGACTCTTTGAATGCGCTGGCGGCACTTGCTGCGCATGTGCATTTGGCTCCACTCGGGAGCTGACGTCGGACTTGGGAGGAGAGGTCACCAGCGCCGAAGGAGCCTGTCGCTGGATAAAGGTAAGCTGCTGAAGGGGTTTTAACCCCTTCAGCACCACAGGAGGGGGACCCAGAGGGTGGGGGCACTCTCAGGGCACTATAGTGTCAGGAAAACTGCTTTTTTTCCCTGACACTATAGTGATCCTTTAACCTATTTTACAAGGTGGGGTGATCCCTGGTTGCAATAGAAACCCAATTTTGCTTTGCGCACTCAATACAGCTTTAAAGACACCAGGATATCTATTTTGTATGCCAGCTTTACACTGGGACCATAGCTAATATTCTCCCTGACTAGGAGCTAGGAGTCATTACTTAATCACTTCTATGTGATATAGCTTATTACTAGAGCTTACTGGTTTCCTTAGCAACCAGCTGATGATGGTTGTTTGACTCCCTCTGACGTGATACCACCAGATTAAGACAGATGTTTGGACTGGAATTGCTCTAATGACCTCATGTATTTATTACTTTGTTTTGTTATACGCTCTCGATACATGATTAAGGCTGGAGGATGAAACAATGTATTTTGTTTTCTTTATGTAATCTAATAAACCTCACCATCTATTGCTTTACACCGTGAAGTTTATGTATTTACTACTATAAGAACTATGGACTGTCACGAACACACCCTACTCCAAGAGTGTGCGTGACGTAGTTGTGGTGGTGAAAGGGTTAAAGTACACTATTTGTCTGCACTAGACCGGAAATAATGACAAAATCCCCCTTTTAACACCACCCACACTTAAACATAATAATATAACTAGAAGAACAGCGAATAGATTGAGCCAAGTTAGATACACAGAAAAAGTGGGGGGTAACCCCAAATGAAGAATAAAGAGAACAGGATGAAGTGTATCTAATTCATGATGCAAAATATAAGCATCAACAAAATTCAAGATAGCCAACAAATAGCCTACTATAAAGGCCAGATAAAGCCACTAAAAACAAAAATAATAAAAGTTTATTAAGCAAAACAAATATGTGACCCAAATACGTGCTACCATATAAACACCAAAAAATTATAAATCTAAAATAATTGCTAGACAGATCTATAAAGAAAAATATAGATTGTCTAAAACGAATAAAACAAAAAATATATAGTTACAGATCAAAATGTGAAAGTCATTCCTGTCAGTTGTGGCTGGTAATATACCAGGCTAAAGAAGCAGAATGCCAATCCAATGGATCGGTGAATATATTGAATCTGGCACTTTAAATCTCCATAATAGAATAATGGACCATATATGTCTTATCCAAAATATGAATCAATATGGAGAGTAGTTAATTATCCATAGTGATAAATAATATACCAAACTAAAAGATCTGTCTAATAATAAGTGAATCGATTATAAGGTCTGTCTCTTTAAAAATCAATAACGTACTAATGGACTGTATAGGTCTTCTAAATAGCTAAAAAAAAAAAGCTAATATTAGTAGATTTTAAATGTCCATAAATCACAGCAAGAAGAAGAGAAAATAATTAGATCGATATTGAGCTGATAAGCTAACAGATCTTAGAGTAGTAGAACGATAATCTGCATGAAGAGATTCTGCTAGTAAGCTGGATAGACAGAGTATATATGTAGATAAACCACAGCGTATATAAACTAAACCGACAGTAAAGCAGTCATAAAGACATCTGGGAGGAACAGGATAGAGGAGAAAAACACATATAAATAAGGTTACAATAGAAGGTGCTACAAAGTGTCTGTTTGGTAGCACACAATATGTATAAAGAGCTATTAACAATATGAGAGAAAAAATGTGTCTAAATAATACCCTCTATAAATATGTGTCCCGTGCCTTCGAGGGCACCTAGCTCCAACCCCCCAGATATCCGATAGATAAGTAAATCTAAAAAGTAAGATCTGCAGAAATTAAATATAAGAAATGAAAATATAAGAAATGAACAGCGCGGTCGCCAGTCTGTGTGCTGCACTAAAGATCCAACACTGACGAGCTAGGTGTAGCGAAACGCGCGCGTCAGAGGACTGTGGTGTGCTGCACGTGTTGGATCTTTAGTGCAGCACACAGACTGGTGACCGCGCTGTTCATTTCTTATATTTTCATTTATTATATTTAATTTCTGCAGATCTTACTTTTTAGATTTACTTATCTATCGGATATCTGGGGGGTTGGAGCTAGGTGCCCTCGAAGGCACGGGACACATATTTATAGAGGGTATTATTTAGACACATTTTTTCTCTCATATTGTTAATAGCTCTCTATACATATTGTGTGCTACCAAACAGACACTTTGTAGCACCTTCTATTGTAACCTTATTTATATGTGTTTCTCTCCTCTATCCTGTTCCTCCCAGATGTCTTTATGACTGCTTTACTGTCGGTTTAGTTTATATACGCTGTGGTTTATCTACATATATACTCTGTCTATCCAGCTTACTAGCAGAATCTCTTCATGCAGATTATCGTTCTACTACTCTAAGATCTGTTAGCTTATCAGCTCAATATCGATCTAATTATTTTCTCTTCTTCTTGCTGTGATTTATGGACATTTAAAATCTACTAATATTAGCTTTTTTTTTTAGCTATTTAGAAGACCTATACAGTCCATTAGTACGTTATTGATTTTTAAAGAGACAGACCTTATAATCGATTCACTTATTATTAGACAGATCTTTTAGTTTGGTATATTATTTATCACTATGGATAATTAACTACTCTCCATATTGATTCATATTTTGGATAAGACATATATGGTCCATTATTCTATTATGGAGATTTAAAGTGCCAGATTCAATATATTCACCGATCCATTGGATTGGCATTCTGCTTCTTTAGCCTGGTATATTACCAGCCACAACTGACAGGAATGGCTTTCACATTTTGATCTGTAACTATATATTTTTTGTTTTATTCGTTTTAGACGATCTATATTTTTCTTTATAGATCTGTCTAGCAATTATTTTAGATTTATAATTTTTTGGTGTTTATATGGTAGCACGTATTTGGGTCACATATTTGTTTTGCTTAATAGACTTTTATTATTTTTGTTTTTAGTGGCTTTATCTGGCCTTTATAGTAGGCTATTTGTTGGCTATCTTGAATTTTGTTGATGCTTATATTTTGCATCATGAATTAGATACACTTCATCCTGTTCTCTTTAATAATATAACTATAACTATTTTAACGCTGCCACCACCAAGACAATTTATAAATGGGGTGCCTTGGTCCCCCAGGTAAATCAACAATAAAACTCACCAAATATTACTTAGTACAATATTCAAGGAATTACAAAAACACTAACTAATCTCTTCAGGTAACGTGATTCTTAACCAGACAAAGGCAAAACTTAATAAATGAATGTTTATTATGAGCAAAAAAGATAGTCACAGTGCATATAACAATATATGATAAACAAATTATTTACACCAACAACAGATAAAAACATAAAGGATAAAATACAGAAGTCCTAATTACTCACTTAGGTTTTCAAAGTACAACTTCTGTCCAGGGGGTCTCTGGCAAGGAAAGATGGTGACTCACCCAAAATTAGATCTTGGCCCCAAGCAAGTACACAAACACCCTTCAGGATCATTAGATATATAACCCTGTGGTTTATCAAGTCTTGCCCAGGGGTGGAGTTAAGGCGTACCTACAGAAATAATAACTGACCACCTCCTTTGTTCCAGACCACTGTCAATCCAAATGGAAACATTTGACTCTATCTTCTTTTTTGTACCTGCCACAGAAATAATAATTGCATCTACAAATTTGTTATTTTCCCATTCCATAGACATGTTGCACGTCCCACCCACGATCCAATAGGACGGACATCACAATTCCTTTCCCTAGGGTCAAGTTAGGCCACTCATGTTTGGACTTGGTTAGAAGATGGCGCTTGTCACATTCCAAATATAACAAAAATGAGGCTTAATTATTATTCTGTGGGGGTAAATATTAATGTTTTTGTCCTTCCTTTGGATATGATACTATAACAAAGCTAATGGCATTTACATATCAAAGAGATTTACTCATCCCTTACAAGGTACAGGCCAAATGGATGAAGAGACATTCAGACTTTTTCCAAGTGTAGAACCTCACACCTTGCAGACTTCACATCCATACAGTAAAATCCTTTTCACATTCCTATGCCATTCACACTACCCCTTCTGTCATCTGCCCTCTGTGGGGGTCCCAGCTTCAAAAGATGTAACCCCTGTTGACCTCAGCAATAGCATCTCTGTAATTTGTGCCATTTACTACAAGAAATCACATTAAAAGATGATATTCCATAGTGTCATAATAAATTATACACCCTTGCCGTGACATGGACCATCTACATGGTGGCCCAGTGTTTCAGGGGGCAAGATATCTATATTTTTTTGCTGTGGTTTTTACATTAGGATGACGGTATGTGTGAAAACATATATAAATGATGGAGCTCGTGCCAAATACGGCGTTCGGTTGCTATTAATTGCAGACAGACGTTGGTACCAATATGCCTCCAACATTCCTGCAGATTTTAGCTGTGTTGCAGAAAGTTCATCCATGTAATAAAAACAGAAAAAACAACAACATGGGATAAGTGAAAACAGCCAGTAGATGACGATCACATACTACTCTCTACTCTTTTGTTTTTATTCATTATTTATGGAATGCAGGTACATAAAGATGCCAAAATAGTGGTATTGAATAAATTCTGCACATTGTATAATTAGTAGCCACAGACATCAGCGCCCCAAGTGTTTATTATATAAGAAACAAACATAGAATAAGAACACTCTGAGTGCTACAATCATGGGTAAATGTATAATGAGAAATCTAGTGCTAAGATGCTACATTTATAAAAAAAAGAAGGGAAAATATGCTATAGCGACAGTACCGGGTTTAGGATGGGTAGGAAAGAAATATCATCCAGAGTTGTTAGTAATTTGTTGAGGGACCCAATAAATTCAATATCAAAGCATACCATAATACATAGTAAAATTGTAGATACATATTCAAGCAACTGGCCCATCAGGTACAGGCGTATTACCCACAGGAACAAAGGGCATAACCCCAGCAATGTCCAAGGACATATGACCAGATTTGCCTTGAGTGAAAGTAGATAGCAGCAATAGCCCCAGTTCTTGAAGGAATGCTGGAGTCTCCTCTGCATGGACCATCTTCAGCACCACACCTTTGAGTTCCACTATTGACGACCTAGGATTCTCCCATCGGTAGGCTATCACTTTGTCTTAGAGTAATTTGGTGACAAGACTTAGGAGTTCACCATCATTTTAACATGTAAAGTCCTTGCCCTCAAAAGTGTAGGGGGGCTGCAAGCCACCTGCATGGAGGCAGGCTTGTCACCAATGTGGAACATTTGGGCTATGACATCACAGGAACCCTTCTTTTGCATTGTAGAGTTTGAAAAGTCCACCAGTTGGCACATGAGCAGTAGACAACAATGTGACAAATAAGCGGTTAATATAAGCAGGAAGATCTGTAACTCCTTTTATATCAGGGATGCCTCACATTTTAATATGCCTGCAGTGGCTACCAACTTCTAAGTCTATCATTTGGGTTTGCAATATATCACAGATTTGTTGAAGGTGTGACAAAATAGACGGGGTGGTAGGCCGATATTGAGTAAAGTCACTCATATCCCCCTCAATGGTCGTGATGCATGCGCAAGAGTACAGCATTGAGGTCAACGGAAGATCCCACAAGATCCTCCATAGACAGAGCCAATTCCCTGTAGCTGTCACTGGTGATGGCTGTCGGGATTGGTACTTAGACTTCGCCCAGAGTCTAAGAAAGTCAGGTGGAGGAAATATGCAGATAAAGTAGTCCTTACTTTGGCTCAGTATATCTCTTGACTGGTTTGGATTTTCAGTAAAATTCCAACACAATCAAAATGATTATTTCAGAAAGATATCTTCATAAAATACTAATTTTTCTGGGGTAGGGGGTGACTGACACACTTTAATCGCCCCCAGGAGAGCTTTGACGGATTGTGCAGTCCTCATACAAGTATGGGTCATAGAGGCTAGAGGGAGAAAAACTATCTAGTTAGTCTAATACCTCCCTCTCCAAGTCACGTGTGGTGTTCCCCAAGGTTCCATTCTCGGCCCCCTACTATTTACATTATAAATGATCTGCCTAATGTCTGCAAATCCTCAAATGTACACATGTACGCAGATGACACAGTAATCTATGCGAGCAAATCCAATCTACAGCAACTTGAGGCTGTGTTACAAGACCAGTTTACAGAGGTAGAAAAGTGAATCGCAAAAAACAAACTCTTCCTAAACACTGACAAAACTGTCACAATGATCTTTGGAACAGTACCTAAATTACACAAATTACACAATTCCCACCTTTCCATCAAAACAAATTCAAATGGCATACTGACCACAGTCCACTCTTTCAAATACTTGGGTTTGATGTTAGACCCCAATCTATCTTTTGGCCTCCACATAGAAAAACTTGCATCTAAACTTTATCCAAAACTAGGGGCCCTGTACAGAAGCAAATCCTGCTTAAGCCCTACAGTAAAGGAAAAGATTGCACAGCAAACGCTGATGCCAATCATTGATTATGGGGATGTAGTATATGCATCTGCATCGCAATCCCACATTTATACATTGTATAACTCGTTCTGCCGATTTGTGATACAATGTAATTACATGACCCACCATTGTGACATGCTAAAAGAACTAAACTGGCTGTCGCTGGAATCCAGACGCACCCTTCATCTTTCCAGCCTTGTTTTTAAGAGATTTTCTGGAAACTCCCACCTTACCTGAAAAAAATGCTCTTCTCGGCTGTTCCCACCTCCTATAACCTCCGATCTAGTACCAACACTTTATTTAGTCTACCTCAATACAAAAAGAAAGCAGCCCTATGTGCCTTCTCCTACAGAGCACCGCAATTATGGAACGACCTCCCGCACAATTTAAAATCTTCCATAAGCCTAAAATCTTTTAAGAGATCCCTCTCTACATACCTCAAAACATAAGAATGCACCTGTCATGGTTGATTATATATTTCCTACCTGTTCTATGTTAAATTTTGTATATATTGTGTATTAATACTGTTTTTGTATTTTATTGTACCCTAATGTAACAATGCAATGTTTTGTGGACCCAGGACATACTTGAAAACGAGAGAAATCTCAATGTATCTTTCCTGGTAAAATATCTGAGAAATAAAGCAATAAAATAAAAAATAATACAAGCTTCTCCAAAGATGTGGGATGCAAACACCATCTTACCAGTAAGCGTGCTTGTGCTCGCTTTAACTCGAAAATCCATCTGTTTATATCAGTACACTTATTAGCAGAGGGTATTCCTTAGGGTTAAGGCAGGTTAGGTTTAGGATAGGGCTAGGTCTAGTTTAATGCTGGGTTAAGGTTAATACTGTTGCAGGATTTGGGTAGGTATACGATTATAATTGGTGTAAAGATTGGGCTGGGGGGGTTGGTTTTAAGTTATCGATAAATGTCTAAAACAAATTTAGATCCCAGATATTTGAGGCATTTAACAATAAGGACTGGTATGTGAAACTATTTTTAATAATTTTCTTTAGTTTCCCTGATATTAAATTATAAGAAAAATCTGTTTTGTGTTTTTTATTTTTCACACTTAATATTATGTTTGCCATCTCTTCTCTTTAAAAACACAATATATAAAAACACATAATGAACATTCTAGGTTTTGCTTTAGTAATCCCAGATTTCCAGTGGTCCTTCTGCATGATAAGTCAGTTCAGCACAGTGTGATTCATCTTCCCTATACAGCAAAATACTGGTTGCTTAGTCTGCTCAACTCAGAAATTCCTCTAGATTGTAAGCTTGTTTGAGCATGGTCCTTATTAGCCTCCTATGAACATTTGGAATAACTTATCCTATTTGCTGCTACATCCCCACATTAAAGTGGTAAAGCACTGCAAAATATACTGGCACTATATAAAAAAGACAATAATGGGTGGAAATTGGCTGTGAACATCTTCTCATATCTGCACATTTCTCATTGTTTGAAAATTATGGTTCAGTTCCACGTTGGCCATCTCTATACTGAAAAACTGTCAAAATTTTGAGAGGTAAATTATACCGACTAAAGCTTGCTTGGACCAAAAATATGTCTCAGGGAGGATATCGATGTAAAAACAATGTATTGGTTGTTTTCTTTCCCACCAACCTACATTGTTGTATATAGTTGCTGACATGGAAAGTTCCTGTAATGCAAAGTAATCTGGTGTTTTTCACAAGCCGTAAATACATGTTTTACCATTTCTTTACAGTATGTTAAAAACAATGCCACTTGCTTATATACTGAATGACTGCTGACTGGAAAGGAAATAGGAATACACCACATTGTGACTAAACATGTATATCTACATGAGGTAGAATTTTCATATTATGTCTATTTTTTTCAACCATGTATGTACAATGTGTTTGTTTGCCACCACATTACAGTTCCTCTTCTGTATGGTGTTTCTGATGTTTATAAAGCCCTGGTTTACAAATAAAACATTGTCCACATTCTGAACATGAGAATGGCTTCACTCCTGTGTGAGTTCTCTGATGCCTAAGAAAGTGTGCATTATTGCTGAAACATTTCCCACATTCAGAACATAAGAAAGGTCGCTCTCCTGTGTGTTCTCTTTGATGAAGAAGGAGGTCAGATTTCTGGGTAAAACGTTTCCCACAATCAGGACATAAATGTGGTTTATAATCTAAGTGAAACCTTTTATGGGAAAGAAGGATTTTTTTATGGGCAAAACATTTTCCACATTCAGAACAAGAATATGGCTTCTCTCCTGTGTGAGTTCTCCGGTGTACGAGTAGCTGGGAATTGTTGATAAAACATTTCCCACAGTCCAAGCAACAATATGGATTCTCATCCATGTGAATTCTCTGATGGGACACAAGCTCTGTTTTTTGGGTAAAACATTTCCCACATTCA